ATATAAATAAATAAAATGCAGTATAATATAAACACAGTGATATTGCGAACTGCCCATTGACATAGATAAGGTGTTTTTCTCCCTTTAATACAATGTTAGAAGTAAAGGTCATCCATTGAAATTAAATATAGGGAGATTTCAGGAGTGACATAATGGAATATTGTTTCATACAGCACCTAACTAAACTATGGAATTTGTTCCATGTAGTTATAATGGCAGTCAGTTTGGATGGTTTTAGAAGGAAATTGGTCATGTTGATGGAGAATCAAGCTATCAGTGCCCACTAATATGGATGGCTATTTATTACCTCCTGAATTACAGGCAGCATGCCTTAAATACTGGTTACTGGGAATTCGCACTGCCCTCCAGTCCAGGCTTGTGAGTTTTCCAAATGTACCTATTGGCCACTCTGTAATACTGAATGCTGGACTAGAAGGGTCCATGACCTGATCTAGCAGGGGTTTTCTTAATTTTAATGTGTTTCAGGCTAATAAAAATGTTGCCTTCTCTTTATAGGGATTCTTCTGCAACAAAGAAGAAGACTTCAATGACTGGTGCCAGCAGATCAAGAAGGTTTGTATGTAACTTTTTTTTTTTTTGGTAAAAAAAAACAATAAGAACTTATGGCTAGGACATCTGATTTTTTAAAATATAAAAATGAATGAATTTTTGAAGGGTGTTAATTTTTTAAAAGGTATAGCAATCATGTCAAGATTTCTGTTGCCAGTATCATTTTGTGTTAGATCTGTTAGACATCTTTCTTAGAAATTAGAGCTTTTCTTGATTACCCAATTATTAGAATTTTACTATAGTAAGGTAGATGAATCTACAGGCTATAATTGATATTGAAAAATGTTTTACCTCCTTTACTGTTTTCTCCTTCTGAGGTATCCATTGGAATATTTGTTTTTTAAAATGATAAAATATGGGAAATTTACAAATAAAAGTACTTTTGTTATCTTGAAGCAGCTGGCAAACAGAATCTAAGGCTTAATTATGTCAACAATTAAATGGAATTATTTAATTGTTGACATGAGAAATCAATGCTGGTTTTGTCCCATGCCCAGGCCTTCAAAGGATCTAGATAATCATCTTCTTGGAGGGTGCTGTGTAATTGCCCCCTGCTAATCTTTCCTTTATAGAGTCAGAGTGCAAGTTGTCAAAAATTGTTGGATCAAGAGAGGGCCTGTTAAGGAGGGGACACAACACAGCTTCTTTCAATTGCCTCTTGAAATGGGGTGGAAATAACCTCCCAGATCCAATCAATCACTCCCCTGTGATCCATGGAAGAGCCAGGAGGGGCATGGATCTAAGCTACAAGCCAAGGACACATTGAACTCCACCCATGAAGAGACAAGAAATTGGGGGAATTTTTAAAAAAATAACTCTGTAAAAAAAAAAAAAGATAAGAAATTGGTGAATCTTTAAATTGGTAATTTTACTGGCAACATACTATGCAAACTGGTCCCAATAGCTGGGTGGGAAATCTGCCTTCTGCCCCCTTCCAGGAAGGGAGTTGGCTACCTTAAACAAGGTCACTGGCCAACAGCCCACCAACACAAAGAGGAAAATAAACTCTTCTTCACCACCGTTATTGCCACAATGTAGGCTCAAATATTTTCCTCCACAAGCACTCCAGACATTACTTTTGCCTCTTCACTTACCAGGAGCTCCTCAGTACACTAGTGAGCCATCCGAGATCTACCAACAGAGAGAGGCTGCTCAAGAGTAGTGTCATCAAGTGCCTGCATCATCCCCTGTTGCCAATGAGCACTAGGTACTCAACAGAACTGCCCACACGATCACTGGGGGATTCTCCCAAGTTCCTGCTTGAAACCATGAGATCCATAAGGCACCTGAAGCAGATCATCTTAACTCTGTAACACTAAGTAATAAAACACGAAATAACCATAGTCCGATTAGTCATACTGTAAGCTTCATTAAAATTAATAGGGTCTCAATTAGTCACAATTATGGGTTCTATTTGCTTGGGACTGAAGCACAAACTTTGTGTGCATTTTGGTCATTTAAAGGCCCAGGCATATAAAACTCATCAAACTGGGATCTAGGCAAGAAACTTCGGGAATGTAGTTTCCAGTTGGGGGATTCACAGTATGCATACCAACGTGGTAAATAGTTGTGATGACCCATTAGATAGCTATCTAACAGTTACAGTTGTGAAACCTTCAGTAGAACCAATAAAAACTATGTGAAATGTGCATTTTTCAAATATCCTATAACTTGTCTTCAGGTTTATACTGATAATAGTAATAAACTATTAATAATTGTAAGAATAGATGTGGAATGTAGGGCAAAGGGCTGGATATTGTGATGGAAATCCTGCAATTCTGCGGCCTATATTCATCTAATGATAGCATGCTAGAAATAGTATTTCCATGCCAGCTGTATTCAGTGTAAAATAGATTTTAGGTTGCACTAAACTATTGGATAGAAAGTCCAACAATGAAATATAGAGTTGCTTAAACAGTGAAATAATACTTATTACTAGCCTAAAACCTTTAGGAGGGCTATGAGCACTAGCTAGTTCTAGCACTTGTAGCTCTTGTAGCACTTTCAAGAAGCTAGCATTCTATGGCACTTAGAGAAGATGAACCTAGAAAATATTAACACGGTAACAAAACTTGAATGACCTCATTTCTCCAAAAGACACACAAAGTTGATCTGCGACAGTGTGATGAAGTAGCTTCCGTATTTTAAATGAATAGAGGAAAAAAGGAAGAGGAAACCTAAAAGGAAAAGAATTGTAAATTACAGAGTTGGGGAAAAAAATTAAACGTATCCAATAAATGTTTACCAAATGTACATAAAAAGCAAAATCCTTGGTTTCCCAGCATCTGCACTATTTCTAATTTTGCAATAAAACAATGCACACATTAAGGAAAATTGCATATGCAACTGTGCATTAGGAGAAATGCACACAAAAATATATATTCAAATTTGTTGCAAGCTAACATAGAAGCAGGATAGAGTTATGTAATGAAAAACTGAATGAAATTAAACTATATAAATTTGCCCCTCCCTAACAAATTAAAGAGTTGAAATCTCATTTGAATGGAATCAAAGCTGTTGTTTTGCTGGCTGTCCTTAATTTTTGTTCCTTAAGTGGGACTGTGTATATTCTATTCTTAAATAGAAGAATATCCTTGAAGACTATCCAGAAGCTACAGCTGGTTCAAAATGCAGCCATGTGGGCAATTTTGGGTGCCCCAAAGATGGCACGCTACACGTTTGCTGCGCAAGCTGCATTGAGTACCAGTTTGCTTCTGGGTCCAATTCAAGGTGTTGGTTATCACCTTTAAAGCCCTACATGGCATGGGACTGGATTACCTGAGGGACCGTCTCACTCCCATTATATCGCCCTGTCCCACCTGGTCAAGCAGAGCAGGTATGCTACAGACCCTGTCGACGAAAGAATGTCAACTGGTGGGGCCCAGAAGGAGACCCTTCTCAGCCATGGCACTCACCCTATGGAATACTCTCCCCCCAGAGGTGAGGCAGGCCCCTACTCTCTTGACCTTCCGGAAAGCAGTTAAGACCTGGTTCTGCCAACTTGCATGGGGCGAGAAAAGGGGCAACCAACCCTGGCTAGCACCTTGGAGATTCTCCTGTATGTTAATATCTTTTCTACCAGCAGCATCTTGGAAGATATTATTGTTTATGTATGTATTTGGTTTTTATTGTATTTAATACTATTTTTATTAATATTTATTTGTTGTTTTTATTGTAAACCACCCAGAGTCACTTCCTCATGAGATGGGTGGTGACCGCATTTGAAATATAAATAAATAAATAAAATAAAGTACATTATTTTTCCTTACTTTTATTATTTTGTTCTTTATTGTTGGCAGCTGAAAGGAATTATGCAGAATATGTAAAACTACTATAAATATTTTTTGGCAGGACATTTCACCTTTTTCAGTATAGCTATATGTTGTGCATTCATACAGTTTAAGCATGTCTTTATAATCACAAAGACTGGAAATTCTTACTGTAAGTGAAACTGTGATATACTACTAAAGGTATGTCATTTATATCAAATACTAGACACCCCTAGAAATGGCAAAGGAATATAACTGGTTTCAATTCATTTCTAACAGTTGTCACTGATTAGAGGAGCCCTTCCCATGTTTGAGCTAGTAGAACATCAGCCATCGCATTTCTCTAGTCCTGATGTCTTGAATCTCACTCCAGGTAATGCTCATTCATTTGGTTGTGGAATGAATGAATGCTGTATGAATAAAGGAGTGTTTTAGTTTTTGGGGATTTTTAAAAATTATTCCAAATATATAATTATGATAACATTTGATTCTTCTTTGCCTAAGAAATAATACCAGTTGCTTTCCAAAATGGGTATTTGATCTTTAAAAATCATTGAGATTATTGCTGATTCTAGTTGTAGTTCCATAATATAATGTAATCTGTCAGCCCTATCAGGTGGACCAGACTATGAAACAGACATTGTCCAGACCTAAAGTTACTTTTATTAGAACATCTATAGTAATGGAATCTTGCAAGTCTGAGTGACCTTTCTTCTCTCTTTTATCTTTATAAGAATTGGGGGGTGGGGGGGGTGCTGTCTGAGACATTTTTGCAAACTACTTTCTTGGCCTGGGCTTAAGTTTTATCTAATTGTTGCCTTTATAGTGGGTCTTCTGTTCTTCAAGGCCATCCTCTTTATTCACTACATTATCTTATTGTTTCATAAACTGCAGTAATTTATAGAGCAGTTACTTCTAAATGCTGCAAAGCAGAGCTGCTCCTGCAGGATTTTTGTTGTACCACTTTTGCTTTTCATCCGTGTGAGAATTTTTGAAAATAGATGAGGAAGGCTAAGCTACTAACCTACCCATTTGTTGTGGCTGACCCAAACTGAACTACCATAGACTTTGTTTGTTTGCTGAAAACAATAGTACTATCTGGCATTGGCTAGTGTTCTGGCAAATTACATCTGTTTAGCATAGCCTATATTTATAATTAAAGCTAAGTGTGTTGTGTGAACAGTCCAAACGTACATGCTCAAGCAAATAAATCATTCATGTCTTGTAGATTCTTCTGATGCGGACAGATTGGAAAGATTCTTTGATTCAGAGGATGAAGATTTTGAAATCTTATCACTCTAAAAAAAGAAACTAATTGCCAATTTGGGTTGAGGGGGGAGGGGAGCTCCTTGGAGAGCCTAGGGCTACCAGCTTTCATAGGTGCTTGTTGACATCCCTGCCTCCCATCTACCCCAGCATTCTGTGCAACCTTGGAGCAGAGTGGATTTTTGCAGTGGGATCAAGAAACGGGTCGTCATTAAGGCCTTAATAGCTTTAGTTAGACTTTCTCAGTGCAAGAATATCTACGGGAAAGGGATGCAAAGTTTCCTAGGAGCTGGAAATTATTTTCATGTTCACAGGAACAGACACAGGCACAAAGGCTTGACTATAATAGTAAAAGCCCTTCAGAGTGTTTGGTCCTTTAAGTTCTCTCTATTATTAGGGAGTCCTATTACTTCTGTTCCCCTTTTTATAGTGTGAAGTGAAAACCAGCATAACAGCTGTGAGACAGGTATCTGCATTATGTCTCCCTAACCCAGCAGACCATGTTCTGTGTTATTTGGGGCTACAAGCTCTCTCAAGATTGACTGCACCAGATGTTCCAACTTGTACTTCAGTTTTTTTCCAATATAGTGCTTCCATGTTTTTGGTTTCAAAGTTGCAATTTATTTTAAAAATTCTAATGTATGTTCTGTCATTTAGTAATCACTGGAGCATATCATACAAAACACATGTTAAAATATGATCTAAAGATGACAAGAGAACATCAGTATATAATATATGGAAGACAGGTATTCACTTGACTCTTCTCATAATATGCATAAATGGAATGGTGTTCACTAGAGCTTGCTTTATTACACCTAACTTTTATTTGGACATTTTTCTATTTTGTATTAAAAATATGATGGCTGCTATTTAATAAAATGAGGTGGAAACATCCATTAGCTCACTTGAATTAAAAGTACTTCTGATTCCTCCTTTTAATGAAATCTAGAGACTCCACATGGACACAAATCTTGCTTTAGTTACAAACAGCTATTTTAAATCATGGCTAAATCATGATTTTAGGCCAAAGGTGTACTCTCATTTCCCCCCTTTTGAAAATACTACACAAGGCTATGTTTCTACTGTGTGTCTACATTTGTTTTTCATTTATGTTTCAGTTCTTAATATAAAGTTCTAAAGAAACTTAAAGCAAATTCTGTGTCCCTTGAATGGTTACCTTAACTGGCCAGGATTTCCAGCCTATTATATTCTAAAATAGCAGAACAGCTCCTCTGTTTCTAAGAGATGGGAATAGCTGGAGAGAACCCCATCAATTCCAAGCATTAGCTCAGTGGATGTTGCAGTGGCAAATATGTTTACAAAGCATTCTTGCCTGCATTTATAAGCAGAACTGTCAATCTACAGATGGTACTATAACCATCTATAAAGTAACTGCATATAGGAGTAACTCTACTGTGATAGTAGGTCCAGTTGCCTATTTAGCTACTAGAAATCAGATTTGAACCATGATGCTTATTCGTCATTGTTATAGCTTGCTGTGCTTCTCTTCCTTTTGGAAGAAGAGCATAGTAAGTTGGATTGTGTTTCATTCTTCAACTGCTTTCAATTTGTATCTGAATAAAACAAGTTTAAAAAGGCCTTTGTATTCCTGGTACTTTTTTCTGGACTACTGGTTGAAAGTAAGACAAGCTAAAAAGAGGATCATAGAGTTTCTTTTTACTAAAAGTTCTATTGTATATAAAAGAAACGACACACTAGAGAGACATCCGAGATCTACCAACAGAGAGAGGTTGCTCAAGAGTAGTGTCATCAAGTGTCTGCATCATCCCCTGTTGCCAGTGAGTACTAGGTACTCAACAGAACTGCCCACATGATCACTGGGGAATTCTCCCAAGTTCCTGCCTGAAACCATGTGATCCATAAGGCACCTGAAGCAGATCGTCTTAACTCTGTAATACTAAATAATAATAATAAATATAGTCAACATATTCTGAATAGGTTGGGAAAGGCTGTATTAGAATAAAGGGATACTTAGGTTTCCTCATTAAATTATGTGGACAGACATAACAAACAGTATATAGGTTTGAGGATTTGATTAATATATATAGCTGTAAGAAAATGCTAGTTAAATTAAATTATACAAACTATTAAAGCCACTTCCTTTAAAAAAATAGCATTAAAACAATAGTAGACAAATAGAAGGAATTTGAAGAACATATTAAATATGTTCTCATCCAGCCAATGGATAACAAAAAGCTCAGATGTCTAGAGAAACAAATGGAAAATAAAGTGTAAGACTGAAATCAAGAAAATCTATCTTGGTCAACTCAAGAGAATTTGAATATAGAGATGGGTGAGAGCTTTGTTCAGTTTGAGTTTTTCATCGAGACTTATTGAACTCTGCAAATATCACAAACAGGATGAAAAGAATTCAAGTTTTTTTCTTTAATTAATGAGGGAAAAGTGAAAAGTAAACAAGTAAAAAAAAAAGTAAATCCCTTTGAAGTTCTCCACCTACAAGTTCCTTACCAGCTTTTGGAGCATAAAATCTCCTAGTATAGTTTCTGAAGAACATCTAAAGAAACTGACTGTAATTTTCTGTGTCCTAAGTACTAAAAACTGAATGCATAATTTGGAAGTTGAGTACATAATTTAAACACTTTACATGTATGATATACAATTCAAACGAAGTACCAACAACAGTAAAGGAAAATGAGAGAGCAGCTCATTCATGCACCAGTCCTGATTTGAAAGTATCTCGTAACCAAATCACTGTTTTTGAGAAAGTCTCAAGGCAGTTAGTGGAAGAACACACAAAATTTTTTAAAAAAACAAAACTAGTTACCTAAGAATTCTATAGAATTTGGGGAAGGTGCCTTAGCCTCCACTGAAGATGATGTGCTGAAACTCTTGCTTTCCTTCCAACTCAACATTTTTAACTATTATCAACTGATTAACTAAACTAAATTTTCCTCCAAATACAAAATTTCCAGGAGAGGTACTCTGCAAAAAATTAAAAGGATTAAAACATACATGAAAGAGCTAAAAACAAGGAATCAGCTGTCCTTTTCCAATAAAGATGATGATGAAATTGAAATGCAAACTGCACTCTTAAATCATCTTGTTATTCAAAAGATTTCAATTCAATCAAGCATTTGTTTGAAGAATTCAAACAGGACTTGAAACTGGAATGGGAGAAATCTTTACTTTGATAAAAGATTTAATAGGTATGTCTAAAAGAATTGATGACCAATTTAAAGACTTATTAAGGCAAATATTAGATATTACTCAGACAGCTAGTCAAGCTTATGATTTAAGTATTAAAAATGCCTCTAATATAAAAAAGATTCAGCAGGATATCATTGAGGTTAAAATATCTCTAGCAAATTTTGAAGTCTCTAACAAATGAAGCAACCTCCATATCAGAGGTATTAGCAAAAAAGCTAAGAATGATGTGATGAATTACATAGTAACATATGTAATGATCCCTTCCCAGAAGTACATTACTCTGAAGTGCACAGAATTCAAATTCCAGGCTAGCAAAATTCAATAGATCAAGCGATACTTTAATTACATTTCTTAACATATAGAGACAAAATTATTCAGGAAGCTCATAAACAGAAAGAAAGAAACTTGAAATAAATGTTTTGTTTTATTAAGACTTTAGCCAAACTACTTTACAATAAAGAATTGCATTTAAATCTCTTGCAGAACTATTGATAAAGGAGATTCAATATAAATACAGTATTGTATAATCCTGTATAAGTATTGTATAATGAACTCAAACCATTGTGTATTTAACTAGAATCACTGTGTATTTATCTTGAATTTTGCTACAATAGGCTCCATTCTTAACTATGGGTGGTCTGTAACCCAGGTGTTCTTAACCCAGGGCCCACCTGTATTTCAAACTCTTCCAATAGATATTCCTGACAAAACTCTTATCAATTGGCACAAAAAACTTTTATTATTTTGCTTTAATTCAATATGCAATAGAATATATTGTTAGTCTGAAATGGTGCTACCAGACTCCTCCTGATTTTTGGCTACCAAAGACTAATATGGTTGTCCTCCTACAGTGATAATACCTGGAAGTCTCTATGTCAGTTTGGGGAATTATTATCAGCATCTATACAGGAAGTATATTTTAAGCTCTTACATCAATGGCATCAAACTTCCTTAAGAATCTCAAATATATCTTGTAAATACCTCGGCTTATTAAGTACCATTAGCCAAACATGCCCACTGCATGCTTGAAAATATTTTATTGATAAACTTACTCTGCATATTACAAATGGAATTATTTTACTACACATACACACAATCTTACTATAGTGAGACTAAGTTAATGCACTCACACACACACTTTTACTCTATAAAAAGTAGAGTGTTGAACATATTAAGTCTCTCTAAATGGAATAAAGAAGATATTACTCCATTCATGCATTTCTGCTCCAGGTCTAAGCCCCTGCAGAACTGCTTTCTAAGGAAAGGATAGGCTTCCCTCTTCTAAAACTCCACACTCTATAGAGGAATAGAGATGATAAATAGTAAAGATTAACAAAAAACAGCTTGGCCTCTCAAAACAGATACACACACATGCATGCAGATACATACTGAGTATGTGAATGCAAATAGTGCAGAATTTGATTAAATAAGATCTGACTGTAGGAGTTACGTCAATTTCATTTCCACAGTTCTCCTAGAGGTTTGCGCTGAGCTTCTTGCATAGTCTCTTCTGCAAAGGATTTAATTTCTTTGTGCAAATCTTCTACACTTTTCGAAGCATCAATCAACTATATTCAAAAACAAAACATACACAAATGAAACATTTCTTCTCTGTATCAACTAAGAAAAATGTGTCAGTGAAGGAATTCCCTAAATTCAGCTTTTCAGCCAAACTGAAATGGCTTACTCCATCTTCTAGTCATAAAAAGTTTAAACAGCTAATAGCTTTTTATGACCAGGAAACCATAAACTCTGAGTACAGCTATCCTGGTGCAGGAAACCATGTTGCAGTACTAATTCTGCTTGCCTTTTATCTCTCTATCTGGAATCTATATGTGATTCTTTCATTTGTGCTAGAAGAAAAACAGCACTGTTCCATGTAGCTTGATCCTTGGAAATGGACATTAGAAAAGAATTCACACAGAAACACACAGCCATCAGAATTAGGGTATGTAAAGTTCTTGGCTTCAGGAAAACACCACTTGAGCAGGGTACCCGATACAATTCCCAAGGCGAAGTTACAGTTAGTACAATTCCCAAGGGTAAGTTACAGTATTCTCTACTTCTAAGAGCAGTTTCTACTGATTGTACATTCCCTACCTACAGTATATTGTGATGGCAGAGTGCTTCATTGCATCTTATTTACATTTTACCATTTTTTTTCATATATTAGATACTATAATCCCATTTAAAGCTTTTCCTTTTTCAAGAAATATTAGAAATACTTAAACATTCAAGATTTCTAAAACATTTAAAGAATTCTAAATATTTTTTTATATTTAATTTCTTACCTTCCAATTTAAAGATTTATCTTTCATCAGATGGTAAAAGCACTGTAGAACTTTCTCCTGAAAAGAGGTGTCCTCGTATCGTTCATTTCCAAATTCTCCCCGTTTGGCTGCTTCTGATGTGCTCAATTGAAGAAAAAGGATCAAATCTGGCTTTGGAAGCCCCACATCAGGTTGCTTGCACCATTCCAAGGAGAAGTTCTGTTTGGAGGGAAATAAGAGATGTGGTAAATAGTTAAAGGAAAACAAAGAACTATTTGATAAGATCATGGGAAGATAAATTATTGATCTACTTGTTCAGTATTGTCCACACTGATAAGACTCTCAACAGACGGGCATTCTTGTAGTGTTACACAGATAATGTTTGAACATAAGATCTTTACATACAACCAGGTGTGCTACCAGCTACAATCCTTCCCCAAAGACTAGAGAACAATAACATTGCAATCCTGCACACTAGCTATCAAGGAAGCTAACGGGAACTTAGATATTAACATAATACTGTTAGTCCTAACAATTACCTAAATGATAACTTTGCTACAATTCAGTGACTGCACTTTTATGCCAATATGAACAGAAAGCAATTTTTTTCCATTGTGATACTGCAGGAATGGAGAATCTCAGGTGAACCCTCTCTCTGAATCCCACCTCCATACCTTATGAGCAACACTGGCAGGCTGTCTTGGCAACTAATACCTTCCCTGAAGTGGTAAGGGAGACAGCCAACACCGGACAGAACTTCTTTTGTGTATTATTTTAGATTAATTTTCTGATATTCTGGTATATCAGAATTTGCTGCCTTTGTAGCCAAAAGTGCTTAGCCTTTCAGAAAAACAGTTTCAAGATACACTTGGTTGTTGTATTTTAAGGTTAACAAAGTTGTTTTTTAAAATTATATTAATTTTTGGTTTTTGTTATTGTTGTTCTGCTTAGCTCCATGGATAGATAGATTTATTTATATATTTATATATTTATTAAATTTGTATGCCGCCCATCTCCCCTGGAAGATCCTGGATGAAACAGATTATCTGGACCCCTTCCAGTCGGGTTTCAGGCCTGGATATGGGACAGAAATGGCATTGGTCGCACTTTTAGATGATCTCTGGTGGGACTGGGATGGGGGTAGTGCATCTATCCTGGATGTTCTTGACCTCTTGGCATCTTTTGATACCATTGACCATGGTATCCTTTTGGGTCGGCTGTGGGAGTTGGAGGTGGAGGGCACGGTCTTGTGCTGGTTCACATCCTTCCTCCAAGGCCAGTCCCAATTGGTGTTGACAGGGAGTGAGATCCAGCCCGTGGCCCCTGCTTTGTGGGGTGCCGCTTTGTGGGGTGCTGATGATACTCAATTATACATCTCTGTCCCAGGTGAATTAAGTGATGCTGTGGATGTTCTTTCACAGTGGCTGGAAGCTGTGGGAGTCTGGATGGGGAACAACAGGCTTCAACTGAACCATGGGAAAAAGGAGTGGCTGTGGGTTTGGGGCTCTCCCGTATCTGGGGTTTTACTATCTTTGGTTCTGGATGGGTTTGCACTACCTCAGACAGACTCAGTGCGCAATTTGGAGGTCCTCCTGGGCTCACAACTCCTGCTCAAGGAGCAGGTGGCAGTCATGGTTAGGAGGGCCTTTGCTCAACTTTGTGTTGTGCACCAGTTGTGCCCTTTCCTGGATCGGGAAGCCCTTCTCTTGGTCACTCATGCCCTGGTCATCTCCCACATTGCAATGTGCTCTACATGGGGCTACCCTTGAAAAGTATCCAGTAGTTGCAGCTGGTACAAAATGCAGTGGCATGGGCAGTTTTGGGTACCCCTAGGGCTGCGCATGTAACACCTCTGCTGCATAAGCTGCATTGGGTGCCAGTTTGCTTCTGGGTCCAATTCAAGGTGTTGGTTATGACCTTTAAAGCCCTTCATGGCATGGGCCCAGGTTACCTGAGGAACTGCCTCGCCCCAGTTACATTGGCCTGTCCCACCCAGTCCAGCAGGAAGGGTATGTTGTGGACCCCATCAGTTAGAGAATTTTGACTGGTGGGGTCTAGGAGGAGACCCTTTTCTGCCATCACCCCTGCCCTGTGGAATATCTTGCCCCCCAAGGTGAGGTTGGCCCCCATTCTTCTGACCTTCCGGAATAATGTTAAGACCTGGCTCTGCCAACTAGCATGGGGATCCAACGGGGGCTCCCAGCACTGGGGGTGGCTGGCGCCTTGAAGATACTCTCTCCGTCTTTTAACTTTGTAGTCTTTTAATGTGTTTTGTAGTTTTTGAATGTTTTATACTTCTTATTTGTGAGCTGCCTAGAGTCACTGATAGTGAGATGGGTGGCATATAAATTTGATTTATAAATAAAATATACAACAATCCATCTTAAATCTTAAAATGGATACCCTACCAAAGCCTTGATGCTAAATAACAAAACTTTGCAACACTGTGTTATATAAAAAAACCTTATAGCAAGCAGAAAATTGACATAAACTATCTGATTGTCCAGAGATTGCTGCTAGAAGAGGGAAAATAAGATTTTGATGCAATGCTAGACTAATATATTTCTTTTTTACTTACTTCTTTTGCACCTGTGAAGGCTACTCCAGAAAAGGCGTATCTGTCCACTATTAGAGTTACACCCTGGCTTAATTTCTCTTTAATAAATGGCCTGAACAAACAGAGTGACATATTGTTTGTCAAAAATAAAAAGTACACTCTAGAAGAAAGCAATGATGCAAAATAGAAGATTTCAGTACTTCTCCTTTCTATAGAAATTATTTTAAGAATGCATTGTTCATAACATCTTTAATATAATGAAGATAATATACCAATCAAATTAGGCTATTCAAAATTGTAACCAATTATAGTTTCATTAGTTCATTAGATAGTTTTTGGAGGCATATATAGTCACTGGCACTTGGGCAGCTCTTTAAGGAGAGTAAAATGTGTTTGCTAATAGTTTTCAATGCCTTCACTTTCTTAATTACAGTTTAAAAAGTATGTTATATTATGTTTTTGAGAGTCAGTTTGGTTTAGAGGTTTAAGACTAGAAACCGGGAGACCATGAATCCTAGTCCCACCTTAGGCATGAAGCCAGCTGGATGACATTGGGCCAGTCACTCTCTCTCAGCCCTAGGAAGAGGGCAATAGCAAACCACTTTCAAAAAACCTTGCCAAGAAAACTGCAGGGGCTAGTTCAGGCAGTCACCAGGAGTCAACAATATCTCAAAGGCACAAAGAGAGAGAGAGAGAGAGAATGTGAACCTTTACAAGAATTTCAGTACAAATTTTTGGGTAAGTGTATATAATACTGTACCATAGAGCTGCAATCTTATGTTCTCTGAGATTGTGCTCCAGGGAATTATAACTCAAGGTTGATTTTTTTCCTTCTCTTAATTACTATGCCTACCATACCTGTAACAGGTTTAATTAAAAACATTTAACTGAAAGGCCTAGAAAAATTATTCTACAACTTGCATTATCTTTCACTTATAAACAGAGGTTTAAGAGCCTGAATTCCATTGATTTCATGCTAGTAAGCACAGTCAGTAAGATAACTGTGCATGAAGATATAAGAAGCTAATATTGTGCTCTTATCAAAAGAACACACAGGACAAAAAGCCAAGACTACATATTTGCCAGAAATGAGAGACAGAGATATATAATGTTGAATATTGTAATTCTAGAATCTAGTGGGGGTGGGCAGTAGAATCTCTATAGCAGCAATTCATTTTTTAAAAAACTTTTGGAACAGTATACTTTAAATTTCTCTTGTGTTAAAGATACTTTGCACCTGCTGCATTATGTTGTTCTGTAACATTTCTTCACCATAATTCTGAAATTTCTGAATCTTGACAAGAGTCAATATTCTTTTCCTGTTTTCATCCCCTGGTTATTTCTCCCACCCCTTTCAGGAAATATGTCCAGAACAATCCTATCTGCATTGTTAGAGCTTTTTTGGAACAGCTATCAAAAGGGCAGAAATAAGAAAAAAAGGCACTGTGCTTTATCTTCCCAGAAATAATGCTTAGCCTCCTGAAATAATTCTGCTCATTGAATTACCTGGTAGTTCATAGTAACAAGTTTTTGAACTAAGTAATCAAATTCCAGCCTGCCTCCTTTACCTTTTCTGTCACTGAAAATACTCTTCGAAATCAGAGTTGCCTCTCCAACCTGAGAAGGGAATCTAAAAATCTTTGGGATCCTGGGACATCCTATGAAGACTATAGGATTGCAGCCTAACACAATATTCAAGGCTCATAAATTCATAATTTCCCCAAAGTAAAAGGTAAAATAAAATTGGATTTAATGGGAACTCATTTGGGTCCCTAGTACTAGATAAGAATTTTTTTACACTTGCTCCCAACGATTAGCAGAAAACAGTAAATGCACTGTGTGGTCCTCCAAGTTGTTCTTCTTTTCCAAGTAGGAACTTATTAGCTGACCAGTTTCTGTTGACCTTTCTGCAATAAACAAATAGGAAAAAATGAAATAAAACACACATCTTCAGTGTCTGTAAATCCTTTAATTCTCTTTAAAATATGATCACATTTGACAGCATTACATAAAATGTAACTGCTTTATCTAAATGGAAATTACTAAAATGATAGCTTTCATTTCTGCAAAATCCAGTTGAAAAGTATGGCATGACTTCAATGTGCAATTAAAGTGTAAATAAGTACATACAAAAACTGCACATTTTGAAGTGTAAGAAATAGTTAAGGCTGTATATGCCTCTTGCCTCCTTAGTGTCACAGTCCAAGTGAACATGCAAACAACAGGATCCTAATGGAGTATCAGTTCAGTTAAATATAGACCAAGTCACAAAAAATAGTGGAAGTAAAGGAAATATATTGTTTAAAAGCTCACTAGTATGCTGACAAGGATTAAATGTAAGCATATTCTGTATAGAACAAGCTACTCAAAATGCAAGTTCCAAGAATTCCAATCTAAAAACTTACAGAAAAGCTTAAAAGTATAGGCCAGGATTACCTGTGGGCATTTAATCTATTAACTACAGATTAATCACAGATTATAATAAATCACTGATACAACACTTTCCCTGATATTAACAGCACCATCGCAAAAGCACATTAGTTGCCTTTTCTCTCTTCTACCAACAGCTGCTCAATAAACAGAAATTCAGCAGTGTCATCTAAACCATGGTTGCATGGTTCTGAAAGGCTGCACCCACTGAGTTTCATTCTGCTGTACGAGATACAGGCATTCTATTGAGGCTATTTTTCTGTAAAGTAATTGGGGCGACGTCGTTCTTGCATTGTGTAGCCACTCCGGAGTCTGCACCCCACTTACCAGGAAACCTGAGAAGTTCGGCCCGATGCCCTCCTGCCCACAGGGCCTCCACCAGCCTTCGGCTCTGTGTGCTTTTGCCAGCTCGGTCCACCCCCTCCAGGACAATCAAAGCCCCTCGTCGGCCCGCCATCGATAAGCCCTTCCAGTCTCTGTCCAAGACGGAAAAACAAAGCCACTGAACTTGCAACTTCCCGCGCTTGACACAGTCATAGAAATTATTCTTCCGGCGTGTAGAGCGGCCCTGCTGTTGCCATGGAAATCAAACCTGAGGTGAAACCGGAAGCATAGTTCACGCGCGAACACACGAGGTTGTAGAAAAACGCGCGCCAAGAAATAAGCCCGCCTGTCCTCGAGGAGAGGAAAAAAAAACGAATTTCTCTTGAATACCAGAAAGAACCACGAATTAAGGAAAAGCGCGAGCACGGAAGCCGATCGCCCAATGCTCCGTCGTGGACTCCGCTTCTTCTCTAGGCTGGCTAATACTATATTAACTCTTAACCTACCATATTTATTTACCTCCAAGTCTTTTTTAAGCTGCTTTGTAGAAAATGCTGTACGGTGTAAATAAACAATCGCCGATCAGTTTGAAGGGGAGGCTGGGAGAACCGCACGTGTTGCGAGATAGGGTTTAGAAATAATTTTTTAAAATACGGGATTCATCGTGGTGGTAACTCTTTCAAAGCAGCGGGAGAAGAGATCGCGCAAGACTCTCGTATGCACTATATTTGTTTAGTGAGAGAGCGTCTCAAGCTCATTGGAATATATTTCCGAGGATTTATTTTTATTCATTAGATATATATGCCACAACTTTGCTTCAGATGCTGAAGGCTGAACACGTAGCACTCCTTTCCTCGTTTATCCCCATAATGACCCTGGACGAGAATGACTGGCTGGCTCCAATAACCCAGCGAGTAATTGGATGGACTTGGCGGACTTGAACCCTGATCTTTCCGAACCATTTCAGGTTAACCACGGCGATATGTAATCCCACTCTCACAATTTTTTTTATTATTTTGTTTTTTATTCTTTCCGTTGGATAGCGGTTCGCAACCCGTTTTGAGCCCATTTCCTCTCTCTTGGTGTATCTTAAATATAGGATGCCGGCTGGAATAGGACAAGGGAGAACTCTCTTTACTTTGAAAAAGAAGTGCGAATAAATACACCAAAGAACCAGAAAACAAGAACATTATTCAAATAGACTTTACATAAGAGGAGAAAGTGGACATCCAAGCTGTATATTTAAAGCTGGAAATATTAAGCAACTGATTTTATTTCCGTCGCGGCTTTTCATTAGAGCTAGAAACCGGGCGAGTCGATGACACGCGCGTCCCTTTACCAGCATCCGTACAAGCTGAAGCCGCAGGCACGCGCAGTTACTCCAATTACTTCAAGGAGATAGTGCTTCCCTGCGGACGCGCGCCGGGCCATCTTAGACAAAGTTTCCAGCGTCCAGCCAACCTCGCCCACTGGGGGAGAAGCTGTGCCCGGACGGCTCCCGGCGTTCCAGTCCTCGTCCCCGCCCTCTCATTGATAGGTGGTGGCGCGGCCAATCGGTGGCGGCGTCTCATGACTATGCGATGAAAGCTCGGCCGGCCATTGCGAAGGCGCTGGGGTGACAGCGCCGAGCGCGCGACGGCTGAAAGGTGGGCGTCGGCCGGCTGGTTGGCTACTTGGCTGACTCGAGATGGCGGCAGCGGCCTTGTATCTGGAGCACTACCTGGACAGTGAGTGAGTGCGGCGTTGGGGAGGGTGGAAGCTCGGCGTGGTCTTGCGGCTGTTACATCTGCGTCACAGCCTGGGGACATTAACCGGCGAGGTATTTTTGCTGCGTCACACCTCTAACTACGCGCCGAGAAGGACATTCAGCCGGGTCTGAGGGCTGTAGTTGATGATCTTCGCCGGTAGGGGCCGCTTCCGCGGTCCTCGCGGTCAGTGCCACCTGTAAGCCTGTTATGCATTCTCCCGGTCCTTTGAACTTGGAGCATTGTGGGTTTTCCCGGGTGGCCTCCCGTTTACGACAGGGCCCATCTTCCCTTTGAACAACCTCGTGGCCGTGAAAGTCCTCTCTTTTCGTACCTCGCTGCGGGTCTGCGCAGTTATTTAAAACGGTTATTTAAAACAGAGTTTCAAGAGCAAAAATGAGTCATCATTACAGATTTTTCTCTTGAAACTATTGAGCTATCGCGGTTTTTTAAAGCGAAGTTGCATTCTTCCAACTGGCTAAGACGTCGAAAGAAAGCTTTCATTCAGCACCCAATAACAACGAGAGTGAGTTATGGAAACATCACAACGAATGCTGTCAATGCTGATTTCAGGACCGCAGCGAGGAAAATTCCAAGAGGCAACTAGGAAACAACCAGATATCAGCAACAACTCAGCCTTTGCCATCCATAAAGATTGAATTGAGAATCCTGTCTGCCCCCATGTTAGGCTTATCCATACACCCTTGTGGATGTGGGTGCCTCACATCCTTGACTGGATGAAAGTATGTCCCTACAAATATGTATAGCTCAGGGTTAATGTGTTGCATCACTTGAGTTCTCTGAACTTGATTTTTGACTGCAGATATTGCATTACTGTACTAGGTAACATCAGTGCAGGAGTTTTGGAGAAGTGAGTTTCTACCTCACTGCAGCAAGGGAGATGATACCTTTTATATAGGCAGCAGTATTAAGTGTTACGTTATGTGCAGTGATTGATTAGTCTGGCTGGGAAAACAGCACTTGCAACAGGAAAAGTGTTGTGTTCTGCTTTTTCCCAGCCCAGAAAATGCTCTCAGCTAGGGCTGACACTGAGTAGCCTGTCCTTGATCCCACCTCCTTGATCAAATTTTCTCTCTTCCCAAGGAAACAACCATTTTATTGCATGGAAATGGAAATGTGGCAGGGAGCTACAGCATTGTGCAACCAGCTGAAATAATGTACACTGAATTCTCTGAAACTCCCATTTGGGTAAGAAATTAAAAAAACAGCAAAGCAGAGGCCAAGAACCAGCTGGGCAATGAGTTTCAGGAGTGAAGCATTGCAAAAGTAAGCAAACAGATTGGGGATGCCCCATCACTTAATAAGCTGAAGAGATTTCCCTTAGAAGCAAGCAAAATATAGCCCATTGGATTTATCAAAGGTGCTAAAGGAAATACGGAACCATTCTGTCACTGACAGCCCATTTGTACATACATTGGAATATCAACCTCCTGGAAGAGCTACCCTACATGATCAATACTTTTATTATCAAACTACAAAAAAAAGGGGGGGGAGGAAGGAAAGGAAGAGGCTGCATCAGTGATTATTTGTTTTCTTCAGCAGCCAGAGCAGAAATGGCCATGAAAAACAAAACCCAAAAGCTGGATAGGATGAGTAGTTTTGAAGCAGGCCAATTGGAGCCCCGCAAGTTGCTGATCTCTCTCACACTCCTATTCCATGTGACACGGAATGTTCACATAGGAAGTTATACTGCATTTTCCAGTGAAAGACACTCTGCCAAATCACCTTGATCTGTCTTCAGTCTCCCTCAGCAACAGGCTGGCAACAAGATGGAAGCTCCACTGTGAGGATATGCAATTTTCTCAGATACCCAACAGCATTGATAAAAGGTCCATAGGATTAGAATGCCAAGTGTTAGAGATACCAAGTGTATGGAAATATGTACCAAAGATGTATTATAAGTTCTTGTGAAAGAAGTAAAGTTGGTGAGAGAATTCTGAGCAATATCTTCTGCCATTACCCATAATATTGTTAGAAAACAGGGAAAGTGTATGGTGACAGCACTGCAACTTTAGCTTTTTTGCTTTTGTTTTTTTTTCTGCTAATATCTTCTGATAAAAGAACATTCAGAGACAGCAAGAATATTATTGAATAGAACCAATGAGGTGAACAGTGGTTGTGAGCCACAATTATCACTTTTAATTCTCATTCAGAGATTTCAGAGTATCTTGGGCTCCAGCAATATTTGTTTTCCAGCCTCAGGCCTGTGAGACCAACCAGCATGTATAACTGGGAATGAACAAGATGTGTGATGGGAAGAGATAATAATGATAGTTGCAAACTGTTGTCTGTAGTTAGAAATTTCATTTGAATAGATTTGTGATATGAAAATAATGCAGTCTCTCTGTTTTTGTTTTTCAGGCATTGAAAGCCTCCCCTGTGAGCTACAGAGAAACTTCCAACTTATGCGTGAACTGGATCAGAGGACAGAAGGTATGTTCACGTATACTAACAGATCTTTTTCAGATAATACAGGGGTGCAACCTGTGGTTCGAGGATCACATGTAGCCCTTGGTCTAATTTAAAAATCCCTCTGCAAAAGATCAGTTCCAAATCATGATAAGAGATACCTATCCTTCCCTGCACTTTCTCCTTGGGAGAGAGTTAAGAGAGTATCAGAAAGAGAATGAGAGGAAAGGGGGTATTAGGAAAAGAAAAGTTATGTACTTTTGGTTCTAGTCCCACTTGCTGCTTGCTTTATCTGTATCTCTCATGTTAGCCTCCAAAATGTTAACCCTAAGGCAATATAGTCTTTAGTAGAAAAAGAGTTTCCCATTTCTGATGTAATGTATATTTAGCTTGTGTTGGATTTGGACAGGTCTGAGAAGACAAGTTTAAGAACTCGTCATACGTTTTTTTAAATAAAACTCTGAAACAATTAAGATTATTTTCCCTTCTTGAATCTAATTATTTAATGATAAGAACCAAATTATTGATATTTTACTTTTATATATGACTGATATTTTAAAGGACAAGCAGATATTAGTATTGGTCTAACAGTGCTGGTACTGTAGTGCTGTTGAGTAGCAAAAATGTGGTATTAGAAGTAGCATATTGTCTTTAACTTCAGTCCTCTGCTTGCATATGGGAAAGAAGTATTTGAATTTATGGGCTATTGTTGGAAAACAATTGTTTAAATCAAACTATTTCAGATGTCTGAACACAAAGGGATGTGTTCCTTCCAGCAGCAGAAATTTAATGTTTTAGTCTGCCAAGTTACTATTTTAGCCATTTATATTCAGAGAGTCAAATAATATACTAGTCTCTTTCTTTGACTAGCTGATTTTTTGAGGCAGAGTGAGATGTTTTGTTTAGTTCTCTTCTAATGTTAGTGTTTGGTTAGTGTCTCAAATCACAGATCATGATATATTCAATAACAGGCTCTATCCATCTAGTAGCATGCGTAAGGATTTTGTGATAAAGAGATGGCTGCCAGTGAGTTAGTGGGTGAAGTAAGTTTAGTAGAGATTGAGGTACTGAAGTCTCAGAAACTGTGGTGCTAAGGATTTTTAAAATTATAACATCTCAGGGTTGGAACTTCCATTATCCTAATTTAAAAAAAAAATTAAACATATATTGAAAATGAGAAATAGGTTTTTGTTTTGTTTTGTATGGTTCCTGAAACATTTCAGTTGTAAAATGCAGTTAGATCCTAACTGTGTTTATATGAAAATAAATCCCAGTCAGATTAGTAAAACATGCCCTAGTAAATGAGCTCCTAACTACAGCATCAAAACACAATTTCTTATTTCCCTATTTGGACAAAACCCTCATTGAATTATTTGAGGTTTACTGATAGGATAAGGTTTGGATTGAAATTTCAGTTTTATACTTATACTGTGTCTCATTGCCCTTCAGACAAGAAAGCAGAAATTGATAGTCTTGCTGCACAATACATTTCAACAGTGAGGAATCTGTCATCGGAGCAACGAGTAGAAATCTTGCAGAAGATCCAAAATGCTTATACAAAATGCAAAGAGTATAGTGATGACAAAGTGCAGTTGGCCATGCAGACCTATGAGATGGTAAGATTAAATAGAGCAGTGATACTGCAGAAGACTAAGACAGTGTCTATGTTTCTGAGATCTCTTATCTAACCTTTTAGTTTGTGTTTCAGATGGCAACATTTTTTAGTGTTTAGTAATTGCTGACTGACAAAGAGATGAAAGCTCTATGTGCTAACATATGTGCTTCAGCTAACATTAATCATTATAAATTTTCTGATTTAGAGGATTCCTAGTTTAGATGGGGATTATGTATAAGATTGTAATATTTCCTCATTTAATCTTTTACAGTATGGGAGCAATAGTAAAAATGTGAAGTCTAAAGTGAGTAATACTGACAAGTAACTATATTTGTCAGTGGTACATTTATCAAAGGTATCTCTTTAGCTGTGTTTCTGAAATGGATTTATTCATTGGAGTTTCACTGAGGAGTATATTAACAGCTGTGAGACAATTGGTAACTCGCATATTGTACTAAGCCATGATTTTTTAACCATGGCTTATTGACAAGCCAGAATAACCATACTGTATACACATGACCCTGAGCCATAACTGATAGAGTCTGCTTGGTAAAAAGAATCTCCATTCTTATGATAGTGTTCCTTTGTTGCTGCACTTACAGAAAAATGCTTCCATTGTTGTCTGGGAAAAAAGAATTGTAATTATCGTGTGTTGTTACCAACATGAAGCCTCAGAAAAGCTAGCAAGCAGCCAAGTTTAATCTACCTGCCAGCGGCACTATCAGATGAGAAAAACATTCAGGCATATAGAAATACAGAATGTAATGATATGGTATATTCAGTTATTTAAAACTAATTAATGAAATATTTTAAAAAATGTAACCTAATTCTATAATGTTTATAAATTCTGTTTCATCCATTTGATGCTTTCTTTTTTCCTTTTTTGTGTGTCTTTTTTCTCTTCCTTTTTTTCCTTAAAAATGCTTAATTAAAAATTATAATTATAAAAAGAATGTAACAGTTGGAAGGGACATTGCTAATCATCTAGTTTAAGCCCCTGCAAGAATCCACTGTTACAGCATCAGATGGCCATCCAGCCTGTGTTTATATCCTTGCAGTAAAGGAGAGTCTGCCGCCTCTTGAGACAGTCTGTTCCATTGTTGAACAGCTCTTATGATTAGGAAATTATTCTTGAGGTCCGATCAAAATCTGCTTCCTTGCACTTTAAACCTATTCTTGTTTTGTCTTCTGAACATGTCTACCCAAACTTTTACTTGATAGACTCCTTTCCTGTAATAATCTAACTGTTAATTAAAATACTACTTAAGAAAATTATTTTTTTTCAGCTGTGTGGCGTTTCTCTCTCTGATACAGGTGGACAGGCACATTCGACGGCTGGATGCTGACCTTGCCCGATTTGAAGCTGATCTGAAGGATAAGTTGGAAGGCAGTGATTTTGAAAGCCCTGTGACACAAAACCTAAAAAGTATGGATGTTGTGACAAGGATTATGGAGCCTTTAGAACTTGAATTAATTTTTTAATAATATAATTTCCAAATTCATACTCTGGCTTTCTTTTCCAGTAGAAACTTTTTTGCATGCAGCATGAGAGCTTCACCTTGTCTGTGAGCCAAGTAGCACAAGTACCACAAGCGCCCTCCTTCTGTGGGCCTCATGCTTGTGCACATGGATCCCCCAGCACCTTCCTTCCCTGGGCTTTCCTACACTTGCACACACGCTTGCATCCCCCAGTGCCCGCCTTTCCTGGGCCTTCCTGCGTTCACATTCACACATCCCCCCCCCCAGCATCCTCCTTCCCTGGGCCTTTCTGTGCTCACACCCACGCACAGATCCCCCAGTGCCCTCCTTCCTTGGGCCTTTCTACACTCACACACATATCCCCCAGCGCCTTCCTTTCCTGGGCCTTCCTGCCCTTGCACACACGCACGCATCCCCTGGCACTCTCCTTCCCTGGCCTCCCTGCACTCACACGCATGTACCCTGCATCCTTTTTCCCTGGCCTCCTTGCGCTTGCGCCACACTCCCACACCTCCCCAACTCATGCAAGGCCTGTGCTGGGCCTCCCCATCCCCCTATGGCACCCCTGCACTCCTTACCTGGGATTCCTTCTGCTTCCTGCTTAACACCCCGTGCGTCTTGGGGTTACAATGACAACTAGACCTGTGTGGATTATCGTCGCTAAGTGATGTGGTCAGGTGACATCTCACTTTACAACCATATCACTTAGCAACAGAAATTCTTGTCCAATTGTCATAAGTTGAGGACTACCTGTATTAAGTAGTGTGAGGGTAGGAGCACTGCCTGACCCCACTGCTATGGTGCAGTAACGGTAGGCTGTAGGAGCAGCACAGTTTAGCTCAATACACTTTCCTTCCAATCATAGAGAGGAGGAAAGCATATTAATGTGGCCTTGAGGACTATGGTAATCTTTAAGCAAAGCTTACACCTTGCCAGGTACCTGCGTGATTACTCAGTTGGGAATGGCATTGGAAAAAAGCCCCATAAAAACAAAAATCACATTACTTTTTGTAATAGTATAGTTAATGAAAAATAACTGTATTTCAGAGGGAAGAATTCCAAAGGATAAGAAAACCTCTCGTGGTCGAGGCCGGCGAACATCAGAGGAAGATGCTCCAGTGAAAAAGAAGCCAAAACGAAGGTAGGAATTAGTACAGTCTATAAGCAAGAGTTCTTGGGTTTTGGAAGGGGAAATTCCTTTTTGCCTTTGTTCTTTTGCCTTCTGTTCTGGGAACAGACTGGCTTCTGATGGGTTTAAAAAAAACACCCCAACCTGGAGAAGTGTTGGAGAGTGAGCAGAAAATAGCCATTAGGAATAGTAGTCTCTAGATTGGATATCCTAGCTCACAGAGAATAGTTGTGAGTATGCTTGGGATAAAACTGAGTTTTGGTTGCAGTTGTGGTATACTGGGCAAAACGTGCCCAAGCTAACTGGTACTGTCTGTACCCTTACCACAGCTTCAAAGTGGCTTGCTTACCTTTTATTGACATTTCCTTACACTAGACCTCCATTTTGGAGTCAGCCTTCTGGTTAAGGCAAGTTAAAACCAGACCAAAGTGATCAGTCAGGAAAGTGGTATTTTCCATCAGAAAACCTTCAGTGCTGCATGAAGAAGTATCCCAAGGGAAGTCATTGACTACTTGCAGGGCTCCAGTTGGTCTGCAGGACCACCCCTTCCATCCAGCCACAGGGCTTTCTGCCCTTATGACATTATCTGCTTTGACTGCCAGAGAGATCAGAACCTTCCAAGCAACCATATATATATATATTTTTTGCTTAGGTGAGGGAAATATTGACTTTGTGGAATGCCTTCTACAAGATCACGATTCCTGTTAGTAACCTCCATGCAGCCTGCCTCCTCCTCTCCCTATTGACAGACACTTGGGCAAAGCTGCTGCTGCTGCAGCTATCAGGGCAATGAAGAGCAGAAAAGGGGAATGGGATTCTTTTCCTTCTTAGCTGCCTGCTTCTCCTTCGTGGCAAAGAGCAGATCATTCATTTGTTCCTCTCCTGTTCTCTGCACTTCCCTTTTCTTTGTGCTTGGTGGAGGTTACTGCTGCACTTAAGCCAGCTGTGACTTCTTCCAAGAAAGGTGGTTAGCTGTAGCTTCTGTTTTTTGGGTGGTCGCAGTGGTGTTTCCAGCAAGTGTAGAGGTAAGGGAAGGTGCATTGAAGGGAAGAGGAGAAGAGGCAGCAAAGGATCTGCATTGGGGTAGGAGGGAGAAGCAAGCAGCAGAAGAAGAGAAAGATTCCCTTATTCTTCCCTGCTCCCCAACAACAGCAAGTGTAAAGTGCTACCCCTGTGTAAAGACAGTGACTCTACCTGCCTTGTACCTGAGGCATGGCAAGTGGATTGTTGTGAGAATGGGAGACAAGCACATTCTCAGGAGTTGCCTGGATAGGCCTACAGCTGATAACCTAGTATATACCTTCTCTATAATTCCTAAAAAAACATTATGTGAAAGTCCTGTTTGACCAAAGCCATGATGGGCAGCAAAGGTTAATGTCTGTGAGCCAATCTGATGATAACCACAACATATGGAAGATTGCAGTTTGGAGTGTATGAGGAGTAAATGGTGAAAAGCATGAATTAAGGAATGAAATAAATGAAAGAATATTGATAATTATGTAATAGATCTGAATGAAGGTGGTCTGATCTTGTGCAGTGGAGCTGATGGATACTACAAGGAAATGAAGTTGTATGCTTAATTATGAATGAAACTGTATAGGTATCACAAAGTAACAAATAGAATCATCTAGGTTATTGTGGATGCAAGTGAAAGTAGGAGTCCATAGATTTGTGATTGCTGCATGTTATGTTCTTGTGAAGATATTGGAAGAACCCAGAGATAAATTTGGGGGAAAATGAATGTCTCCAGGGGAGAAATAATTTTATTAGGTAACATGAATTTATGAGTGGGAACAAGACAAAAGAGTACAGAAAAAAATATTTAAGCTATTCGGAAACCCAAGAATAAACAAGAATTGTGTTTTTTTTTATATGTATCATCTTTGAAAAAAGTCTATTTTTAATAATATGATTTAAACATAAGACTATTCATACATACACATGGCAAAGGAATGAATGTGAATCCTAGAACTATTTTGTGTTCTGGAATGGTAGAGAATAGGTCTTGACCTTCTGTATGATATCCTTTCAGGGATTTGAAGAGTTCTGTCTCGTTTGCCCTCTATCTTTTCTTCTAAAGAACAAACATACAAAGGTCTTTCAATCTCCCTTCATAGAATTTACTTTCTAGTCATTTGGTCATTCTCATTTCCTTTTTGAACCCATTCCAGTATCTCTAACTCTTTTTTAGAGTATGGTGCTCAGGACTGAATATAGTATTCAAGATGGGGTTTCAGCAATACAGAATAAAGTGTAATTCTAGTTCCCATGATTTGGAAACTCTATTTCTGTTGGTGCACCCTAAAATTACATTTGTCTTTTTTTGCAGCCACACTGCTGGCTCATATTCAGTTTGCAATCAACTACTATTCTGAGATCTTTTTCATAAATACCCTTACCAAGCCAGATAATACCAGTGCATTTGATTTCTGTTTTGTAAGTGAAGTCCTTTGCATTTGCTGCTGTGGAATTTTATTATTCTCAGTTAATTTCTCTTATTATCAATATTATTTCTGGCTTTGAGGCATTAGTTATCCTATTTTGTCTTGTCTACAGGCTTGTTAAGCATTCCTCACCTCTTCTTTCAAGTCATTAATAAAAATGTTGAGAAATAGAAGGGATATTGCCCACTTAATTGTCAACCCATCCAGACCTCACTAGCTTGCTAATCAGAATATCGTGGGATACTTTGTCAGATGTTTTGCTGAAATCATGATATTGTATATCCATAGCATTCTCACAGTTTATAAAAGAAATTTCTTGATTAAAAAATGCAGTAAAGTTAGTTGACAAGACTTGTTCTGACCTCTGGTTTTGATTGCAAATCTATATTTATCAGCTTTCTATTCAGTTCTTGGAATTGGAGAAATCATGCAACATATCTGAAAAGCACCTCTCCATTGAGTAATTATTACTCAAGAAGCACTATTTCAAAAAAAAATTCTCTGAAGTGTTCAAATTCATATTTGCACTAAGCAGCTTCTGTTGCATTGTAATAATAAGAGCATATTGCTTGCTGTCTGCTCATCACACAACTACTTTTATGCATATTTATTTTTATTTAAAAGGCTACAAATGAGGAACAATACCATCTCTACTAGAATTTCGACAAAGAAATAAGTTATTTCAACAGTTGTTACTTGTTCAGGATTTTTGAAAAACAACTCCATGTTTGCTGCTCTCAGAGAATGAGAACTAGGGAGCAAAGATTTTTTTTTTTTTATCTGGGATTGGCAGCTCCTCATGTTGCAGTGAATGAGTTAGTAGATAGTTGATGTATAATTGAGTGATTGATATATCTGTTTGGAAGTTAGAGATAAGTGCTAGTTGAACAGCAAAAATAGTTTCTGAATTTCCTTGTGATTTTATTGGTATGGGTACAACTACTTTTAATATTTAAATTTTTGAACCCTTCTAGTTAATGACAAAACCCAACATTCTGAATTACCGAGTCACTAACATCCACTCAGTTCACTTGTATTTATATCATTGCAGATCTGAATTAGTTGATACCATCCTGTCAGTTCACCCTTCTGATGTCTTGGACATGCCAGTGGATCCCAATGAACCCACATACTGCTTGTGCCACCAAGTATCGTATGGAGAAATGATTGGTTGTGACAACCCTGACGTGAGTATTGAAATAAACCAATGTATGACAAATGCTATGCATTTGTGCTATGGGTTGAAATTGGCTGTCTAAACCAGAAACAACTGCCAGTCCAGTATAGGATTCTTCACAAAATCACAAGCCAATCCCTGGTTCTTACAGAGTGTCAGAACATTGAGTCATTTTGTACACTTCTGGGAAATAGATTTTATTTTGCAAGAATTTGTATTGCAAATGTGGAAGAAGTGGCATTGCAGTAGCTATTTAAAATTACACTGATTTGTAGGCTTAAAGGAGAGAAAAAAGAAATGCAAAGCAAGAAACCATAGCCACAGTAATACCATAGAAGCTTTCTGCAGACTTTCTTTGTTACACAACTTTGGAAGAGTTCAGTTACTGTATTTTTTTATTTGAAAAGATCTGTATATTAAAATTCACTGCATGTCATTGCTCCATATTTCATACTGCAGCTCACATAGGCACACAGAATATGTACTACTCTGAAATCATGCCTATATTGCCAGCTAATGTGCTCCTGTTTTCTTTGCTGTAAAAAATAAATCCTGTAATTCTATAATATAAGCAATATTGCAAGAAAGAATAATATTGTAATCAAAGTTGCTATTTCTGCATTTGATACTCAAGGACCAGGCATTTGTTGATCAACCAACCTCATGTTGCTAATAAGACTGATAAGGAAAAATAATACCATTCATCTTTCTTTCAACCCCAAATATAGTGTCCAATTGAGTGGTTTCACTTCGCTTGTGTGGATCTCACAACCAAACCCAAAGGGAAATGGTAGGTGCCATGAATTATTTGCTTTCTGTTCTCCTATTTTCTTTACAGATCATTTGTCCCAAGAAGGTTGAAGATACTGTTGCTAAGATATGTTTTGATTTAGTGCTTTTTAAATTATTGTGGAAGAGCTCTTCCTTGATAACTGAGTTTATAATATAAGGCAACCCTTCCTCAATCTAGCATTCCTCTTGATGTTCTGGAAATTGTAGTCCCAAGATATCTGTCAGACGCCAATTTAGGAAAAATTGATCTGATGCAATCATTGTAAGCATATCTGCTGGGAAACATATCCTATTGAATTTAGGAAGGTATACCATTCATCAAATTACTTTACGAACAAGCTACTGTTCCTTTATTTGCAAATAAATTTCACTGAATTCTGTGAGACTTAGAAATATGCTAGGATTTATGTATACATCTGTGAATTTGCAGAGTGACTTTTTTAATTAGCAAAATACCTGACATCAAAGTTGGAAGGATACATATATACACACATAACATACATCTTATATATGTTTGAAAGTTTACATACATTCTTGTGCAATGTGACTTTAAATATACAGAGACCATGAATGCATATTCTAAAATCATTGGGGTGAGTATATCACCAATAAAAATTGGTTTCTTGTATTCCACATTGACAATCATAAAATTATTCTATGTTGTTTAGTATCATTTGTATGAAGCTGTGTATGAACTAATTTTGTATAACTTTATTTGCTTCTAAATTCAACCATATTGTGAATACATTTTTAATATGTGTTAATTGTTGGACATATCTTAAATGAGAATAGCAGCAAAGTAGCATATACCTTTGGGATTTTGTACAAGAAAATTGGTGGGCATTCCTCTGCTCTTCATTTAAAAATAATTGATTGTTGATCTGAGAAATTTTAAAGAAGTAGCTGTTTTCTTCAAGAATGTCACTAACGGTTCTTTCTTTAGTATGCAGCTTCTATATGCCTACTAGTATTTTTTCTGGCATATATTTTCTTTTAAATTTTCTGATTTAAATTTAACACCATAAGAAGATACTTAAAAATGGTTGTTTCCTTCTTAAACCTGGGGTATTTCCAGATGGGTAGTTCTTAGCATTAATAAAGCATAGCTTAAACCTGCAAGAAAAATGGCAGATAGTTTTTGAAAGTATTTTGATTTCTTTTTATGAACATTCCACTGTGTTCCATCTATATTAGTGCCTTTTTTTGTGTGTGTGTACCTTCGAGTCAGTCTTGACTCCTGGTGACTGCCTGAACAAGTCCCTAGGTTTGTTTGTTTGGTTTTTTTGTAAGATTTCTAAAGTGGTTTGCCATTGCCTTCTTCATAGAGCTTAAAGAAAGTGACTGGCCCAAGGTCATCCAGGTGGTTTTGTACCTAAGGCAGGACTAGAACTCATGGTCTCCTGGTTTCTAGCCTGGTACCTTAAGTACTACACCAAACTGGCTTAGTGCCTTAGTACTACTCTTTTGTCTTTTTAAGGACTGTGGGTTTGGGCATACTCAGTTATATATTGTTTAGCTTAGAGGTAGGCCATAGACTGTGAGGTGATATCATCTGCTTCATCAGGGCACAAATAGTAACCTTTCTCCTTCCCTGAATCTCTGCTCTTTGAACAAGTGATCTAATAATGAAAGAAATCTCCAAATTATTTGCATGCTTCTCTGTGCATGAAAAAATAGTAGTTACTTCCTTGCACAGCAGTAGAATGGGTTGACTTGTTCATGGAGGAAGAAACTGTGTTATATGCCCCTAAGTTCCTTTCTGTATGCAGAGAGAACCAGCACAGAGATATGTGAATGGATAGTGTATGTATGTGAATGAATGAAAAATAGGGGAAGTGAGTATGTCTGTGACTGTAAATAGGGGACATGAGACCTCCAGGTGTCTTCAGAGTAATCCATTCATAAACCAATTTAATCCTTTGCCAAATGTGAATGGTTTCGCAGAACTATATTGAGCTAAATATAATGCTTTTCTTTTCTTAGGTATTGTCCTCGCTGTGTGCAGGAGAAGAAGAAGAAGTAGAAATGATGTGCAGTATGAAAAAAGTTTAATATATTCCTATGTTGCAATATTTTGTCTTCATCACCAACCCACCATGTTTGGCCTGATACAAAACAGTAGCCTGATGTTCTCTTTATTAGCCATCTTAATGATAAAACTGGGTTATAGAGGACGTGGATTAGGGATAATTATTTGGGTTACAAAGTACACTTCTTTGGCACTGTAATCAATGGTATGAAGTACTTAAGAGTAGGTCTGCACTGGAATTTCTGCTAATATATTTAACCCTGTGAAAATTGCCTGTGGCCTTTCATATGAAGAGGACAGCATTTTTTGTTACCAAAAATATAATCACTTTGGGAAGCATCCAACAGTGTCATTCTGCTGGCGGAACGGCATGTTTTTTCTTCCATTTCCCAATGCATCCTCTAAAATTATTTTAGAGATTTGGAATGAGCATTGGGAAATGGAGTCAGTGAAGGAAGAGTCCTATTGTGTGAGGAGGATGGAACTGCATAATATTTATGAAGTCTTTTAAATCCAATATCAAAACTTTTATGATTGCTGATAAGGAGTGGAATCACATAGCTCACTTTTGCAGATAGAATTTCCATTTGTACAACATTGGATTCTGTTCAAGGAGGGGGTTCTGATTTTGAACATGCAGTTTTGCCCCTTTGGAAATAAGTTTGCACAGTCATATTTCAAACAAAGAATAGAAGTAATTTGTATTTGACTAGGGGAGTTCACAAGTAAAATTCAGGAGTTATACGCATATTCTTATTGTTTCTATGTACTGCTACCTCTGGACTTCATTCTGGTTTCACTGAAATTGCATGCTCATTCCTACGGATAAAAAAACTGCTTAATAAAAACAATAGTTAGCTAAGAGATGGATGTGATATCAATATAGTATAAATCCCTCATAAAATAAAGTAAGATTTAATATTTTAAAATAAGTTTTGCAATGTTAACAAAGGACCAGAAAACTAGTTTTCAGGGAATAACAGTTTTAGGAAAGGAGAAATTCATGTAACTGCACAAAAATATTTGATGGAATGTTATATTGAGGCTTGTCTGATGTGAAATGTTCATGTTCTGACTTCACTGAGATACTTTCTACTACCTAGTGTAAATAATGGCATTCTTTTCTTTTCTAACTTTTCTAAGTTTCTCAGGTAGAAGATAGGCGTCTCCCCCCCCCAAAAAATGCTGAAAGTGCTTCTTTTGCCTATCTGTCACTATTCTCTCGGTAGTTCAGGGTTTGCATGCTTTTGTATAATTCATAAACCTGACAATTCTGTTCAGATAGACGAAAAGGTACACTTGTTCACCAAGGACTCTGTCATACAATCTTCAGCTTTTAAATTGTATATTTTAAATTTTAAAGTAAAAAGTGAAGGCAGTTCATTTTTAAAGGGGAGAAGTAAATAGCCAGTTCCCTAATTTGCTACAGCTGGCTTTAGGTCTAATGTAAAAATGATTGCCAGTAGTGATTAACAAACAGCCAGTATATAACACACACAGTTGTGCTAACTACAATTATTCAGCTGTACAGAATTTAAGATTTTTTATATACTGTCAAATGTTAATAATCAGTGCACTCCTTTGAACAATTGTCACCATCATAATGAATCCCATTTCTGAATGGGATCTGAAAAAGCAATCTGAAAAAGCAAAACACTAGATTTTTAAAAAATATACTCAACATTTTTAGTTTACATTTAGAAAAAACTCTTATAAGAGTGTGGTTTTTATTATGGAAGAATGCACCTTCTTACACTTTTTTATACACAATTTTGTAGGTAGTAATGCAGTTCAGTTACAGTAGTCTTTGTATCACTTTAGGTTTTCTGTAGCTGTACTGTACTTGTTTTTTAAAAGTGCAAATTACATTGTTTTCCTAAGAAGGAGAGAAGGAAATAACCTTGTAGTATTCATGCCATAGTATCCTTATATGCTTCCAGAAAGTTGCATTACTATATAATGTTCTGCTATTTTCAAGTTTAAGGATTTTTGGAAAACAGAACTATTACCCCAAGTCAGATTTCTTGAGTTACCTACAAAAGAGATGAAGCAATGCAAAAATAATACTTTCTACAAATGAACCGGAGTGATTGAAGCCCTGAAGTCAGAAATGGGCAGTCTGTAGCAACATAAATGTTGTTGGATAATTCCATCATCTCTCATATCATTCATGCTGATTAGTTGGCAGACATCAGGGATCAGCAGAATCTGGAGAACCATATTGCATCTATCCCTGCCCTAAGTTATGATAAATTCATAGAAAAGAGCAAAATATAAATGTGAAATAGGGGATGTGCTATACTGATCCTCTATAAAATAAATTATGCTTCCATAGGTAGTGATGCATCAGTTTGCTAATCTATTATGGTCTGTCAGATGCTTGGTAATTCCCTTGTTTCACAATCCCAGTTGTAGCATAATAAAAATTACATTGAGTATCTTACAGGATTCTTGAGCAACCATATGTAGTTTTTATAGCTGCTGAGTCATAGTTTTTCTAGCCTCCAGTAAAACATTGATAATACATTTGCATTCATTGACAGCAGTTCTTGTGAGAATTCACAAATCAATAGTTCAGTTATTAACACATATTAATTATGGCTTTTAACCTTCCATTCCAGACTGTAGAGGAATGTGGCATTAGTTTATACTATAATAACGATTACTTTCAAATTATGTTTCTTCTGTCAGTAAGGAGTAGTGTACTGTAGGTTGATGGTAAAGACTCTTTTTATGTGATATCAACAACTAGTGCTGCTATGTAGCTCCTGAAGTAAATTAGATTGTTAACTTTATCATAAACAAGATTTAAGACCATGCTTCAGTCCCAAGGATTTAGGCATTTAGTATGTGTGTGTGAAATATGTTTCACCATCCAATTTCTGAAGAACAGTATTGGACTGAGCAACTATCCCATGTGAACATGTCTATTTTGAAAGAAGACTTTGCACTGATACCAACTAGTTCATGTTTAAAGTTTTAAAATCCATATTGATTTTGAACTTGTCACCTTGATTCTTGTCTTTGGAGAAAGTATTCTGAATGTTGACTGTATCCTGTTTCATTATTGAAACTTGAATGTGAGGAGCTGAGCACAAGTTTCAAAAAATAAAGAACAACTCCATTTTTCAAAAAGAAATCACAGAAGTTATCTTTTTCCCCATCATTTCTCATAAATAAATGTCACAGCCTAAATTTTCCAGTCAGAACTTTAGGTTTATGTTTCCTTTGTAAATGAAGAGAATATTATAAATCTTTTTATTAAAATGTGAAATGTATTTTTGATCATGTTATAGATATATTAGGTATATTATTATAAATAAAGTATTTTTGAGAACAAACATATAAACTACATGTTTTGTTTGTTTCTGAGATAGAAAATAATCCACAAGCTAGAAGTGAATTTGTTTTGCAAACAAAATCTGTATATTTTTAAGTTTTAACTCATGCTTTAAACTTCTGGGAAAGAAAGCTCAGTTGTATAGTTGACTTTTATTTCAAGCTCCATCCCAGGAATCCTTTGAATGATTTGCATTTTCCTTTTATGCTTTATACCTAATCTGGAATATAATTGTCTGATACTCTAAATGGAATTAATCCACATTCACCACTGCATAACATAATCTTATAGGAAACTATGGGAGAAGAGTCTGTGGTTCTGACCAGTTTCATCCCATTCTCATTGCTCAAAACCTCTAGCCTAAAGGGCAGTTGTACATTTGAGGGCATAACCACCTTGAATTCATCCATACTTCAAGCAGTTGTTTCCATCCCAATAGAATTCATGGTCTTCTGGTTTCTGGCCAGGTGCCTTAACCGCTACACCAAATTGGCTCTCACTATCTAGCCAATTATTGCCATAGGTATAATAAGCAACTATACAATATGTACCTCTATGCACAAATGATGGTTGGATGAGTCAAGAAAAGATTTGTCACTGAAAAAGATTAACTTTAGGCCAGGCTTCTTAATTTCTGACCAATGCATTATCTTACATCAGGACAAAAATATTCTAGCCTTCCCTGAGGGATGTTTATGTTGCCATCATTGATCTGAAGGCAGCTTTTGATTCAGTTCTCCTGAGTGGCTATGGTAGGAATGAGCTGTTTCCTCTACTGATTGATGCTTTTGCAATTCATGTTTTATAAGGATACTTCCATGCAAGTTAAATGCATTTTCAGTGGTATTCTGACAGTGTCGATCCACATGCAAAAATAAGTCAAAGGTATATCCTCCCTCCTTTAATGTTTATGCCCTCTTCAAATTTGAATCTCATCCTCCCTCACAAATCTCATAGGTTAGGTTCCCTACTGTTACACTGATGACACTGCTATTTTCTCCCTGACCCAAATTGGCCTCTGTCATAGCCTCTGGGTATTTGCTGAATATTGCCAAATTACTGAATAAACTCTTTTAAAAGGTATTGTTCTTCACCAAGAGATGTTGCTAGTGTAAGTGGAAAAGTAATAGTTTTCTTATAAGTTAAAGTGTTTAAATATTTAGGCATCTATTTTAAGTCACACACTTCCCAGACACAGCGCAGTTATAAGATTTGCTAACTGTTGATGTTAGCAAATTGTTTATTGTTATTGTTTTATTGTAAACAAGGTTAACCTTGGGTGTCGTGTATAATATGGTTTGTGTTTTAATCCTTCTGTACCACCCAGATTCACTGTTGCAAGATGGGTGGCCATATAAATAATTTAAATAAATAAAAATAATAAATAACTGCAATGTGAACATATTGTTCCTTGTGACTATTACAGTATTTAATGCTATAGTGCTGGTCCTGTTCATACCTGCTTTATAGCTTGATCATACTATATTTTGAAGCTATTCAATCTGAGTTCATTAGAATCCTACTGAGAGTCTTCTGTTTTACTCCAACTAGCCCTTTCTTGGTTAGAACTTCAATGTTCCTCTGTAGTAGCCCAAACAAAAATCTGCCTGTAACATTGGCTGAGACACTCCATGGGCAAATTGCTGGCCCAGTTCACTTTTGCTGATAAGCTTATCTTCACCTGGAAGAAGACCACTACCAGCAATTTGTCCTTTTGTCCCTTCTCTGCCTCATTTCTACAATCCCTTAGAATTGATAAAGCCATGCAAGTATCGAACAGAGAATCCTTGATATGGACTTAAAATTCCATATTATTGTCTCAAGAACCTCTTTTACAGCCTTTCCATGATCCCTGACTATCTTTACAGGATTACTTCTACTACACATAGGAGAACACTCATGTTAGCAAACTTTAGATTTTCTACTTCCTCCTCTCAACTAAGACATCATATGGTTTATTTATTTTGGCTTAATGTGCTGTGCAAACCCAGTCATTAGAGTTTATAAATCATAGACTATGGCCTAGCATGTTGTATGAATGAGGCAAATGTGGTTTACTCAATAAATTCAATAAATCCTTATGGAATGTTTAGCCCGGTAGAGTTGGTGTTCTTTTTCCAGATGCTTGCTTGTGTATTGCTTTGTAATATATTGTTTTAAATTGTTTCATACTGTATATCGCTCAGAGGCACAATGGTGTCAAGTGGCCTATATATTTAATAAGTATACCCATCCATTGAGTCATACATTTTTTTCTGGATCTTTTTATGTGTTATCATAATCCAAGGATTTATTTTGATGGACTAGCGTGATCAGGAAACACGAGAGGCAGCAAGTATTGATACGGTACTTAGATTATAAGAAGGAACTTGGGGGGTAAGAATATTGTTTTATTAGGATTAATTGGTGAACTAAGTCGTTTCTGGATTCTTGAATGAGACCCAGGTGAATCTTTTAAAAGAAGTTGAGTAAGAGAAGAAGAGAGAGCAGAAAGTTTCAAATGATTTTTAAATGTGCAATACATTTTGTGCTGTATAATTTAGCTTAAACTTTAGGTTATAATTTATTGGTAAGATTAATAAACTGATTATGATTTAAGGTTACAGTACTAGGCTTTACCATGATTAAACATGGTCATATCTGTACTTTAACATATTTATATTCTGTGGTTTTAATTAATTGCTGTACTGTACAACATTAATAATATTAATGGATTTCTTATGTGATCAGGAGTAATTAAAGAGATGTGGGAAAGTTCCTATTACAGTAGTCAACAGCATATGGGTTGGGGAGTTGGACTAGGCAACTGAGCAAAATAGCAGAAGTCATTCAAGAATTATCCTTTCTTCACTTCTCCACCCTAATGAAAGCAACCAATTTTGTACTGCTATTTAATCTCCCCTGTAGCCTGGAGATGATGCTTGTAAATGCTGGGTCCATAATAAAATTATGAATTAAATGTGAAGCGATGGCCAACTAGCTACTTGCTAAGATCTGGGTGGATGGCCTGAGTGGAGTTGATCTATTGGCTTTCTCCATGTAAGTATACTATGACTGTGTTTGCACAAATACACTAAATTTATAAACCATGGTTTACAAACCACAGCAGCAAAGCCAAAACCAAACAATCACATTACACTTTAGTGCACCATTTGGCAGCAAAGGTCACAATAACATCAATTCTGAAAGGACTGCTGGCTACCTATTTCCTTTCTAGTCCAATTAAAGTTCTGGTACTTAATTTCAAAGCTCTAAATGGTTAGGGAACCAAATATCCAAAGAGTCATTTTGGTATATGATATAAAAGGAAGAATCACATCTGTTCTAATACCGCCCCTCCCAAAATCAATTTGTTTCACAAGCATTTTTAAATATTAAGTTGGTTTATTAAGTTTGGTATAGTTGCTTGTTTCATGACATTTCTGCCTTCTCCTGTATTCTATAGTTTTAGTCAGGTTTCTTGTTATTACATTTTGTAAAAAACTTTATGGTATGTCAGAAGAGGAAAGGTGCTAGCAAAAATAGTTTTACAATTTAAATATTTAAAATAGTTAAAATCAATAAGATTGTAAGATTTCAAATTTTCAGAACTCACTGGGCTGTAGATTATTAGAGCAGGGGGCGGGATGGGGAGAACGCTGGGGCAGGTGATGCTATCATTATCCTACAGCTGTTTGATTTTAATGGCATTATACTAAGCAGCAACGCTAGCTTGGTAAAATTTAGCACGGTAGCAACTGTCCAGCAAGAGTGATGCAACAGCACAGCTTTGGCCAATCTTGTGCCTTCTAGAGAAACTCTCTGGGGATTCCAGAAGGTATAGTCCCAGCACATCTGGAGTCACCAGGTGATTAGATCCTCCAGTTTGAGTCCTGGATCTGGATACCTTAACCTCTCTTCAAAGTTCCTGATGCTGGATTGGGAATGAGAATTGTTGTTATTATGTATTGACTTGCCAATTACATTTTTAAGCGTAGGTGGGTGGGAAATTGAACACAATTCTCTCTCCCCCCACACCTTCAACTGTGGGCAAAAGCCGAGTGGGAGGGGCAGGACGGATTCGCTTTCAGGCTCCTTCCCGAAGCCTCCGAGTGTTAACAGTGCCATGTCAACTTCTTTTACCAAAAATAAAAGCAATTGTGCTTTAATACGTTCGTTAATCTTTAAAATGGCATACAACTGTTTTCCTGCACCTCTTTGGCGGGCCTGGGAGGCGTCAGGCTGCGACCAGGTAAACTGAGAGGCTTATGTTTTGAATCCGCGGGGGCAATAATCTGAAATTGAAAGATAGAGATACGCAGAGGTAAGAAGCAAAAACGCCGCTCAATCCAGCTCGGGCGACGAGTCCTTAAACTGCGCCCACTTGCCGTGTCGCTTTTTTAGTCGGAAAAGATGGGGAGGAGCTAACAAGAGACCGCCTCGATCTGCCCGAAAGGAAAAGGTCGGCCCTGCTCTGGTGCAAAAGTGAGTACTGTACGGCTACGACTGCCGCCTGCGAGGGCGCGCCGAGGAACCTTCCGACCGGCGACACCCTCGGGCGCTTCCCTACCACCTGGCCGCCTTCGATCAGAACCCTCTCCAGAGCCCGGGAGTCCCACGCTCCTTCCGACCTGAACGCCCGGCGTAATTCTCCCAGCAGCTCGAAAAGCAAGGAGCGGCGAGTTCTGGCTGTCCCTCTCGTTCCGTTCCCTTTCCTATTTAAGTCCTGTCAGCCCTAAGAAGAATCATAAATCCGGTTGGAAGCCAGTTCAAGGTCACAAATTAGCCGGCAAGAGGGTTAAAAAAAAAGCGGTGTTCAAGCCAAGTGTCAGTGTTCCAGGTCTCTGGACTTCATCTGGCAGAATTCTCAAGCAACAATGGCCGTGCTAAGTGGAGAACTCTGAGACCTGAAGTTAATATATCTGGAAATTGTCAAGATTGGGAAACACTGCCAAGCATGCATCCCTTTAACTACTGTCTTAAGTGATGAAAGAAGGCTTGTCTGATTTAGTCTCTTTCATGCTTAGCTTGCACCCAAACAGCCAGACTTCCATGCCCATTTCTGGGGACATTTGCACTTCGTGCATGCTTTGTTTGTAAGAGGAATTCATATTTATTTCTTGAATACTAAAAACTTCATTTCAAATACTGAACTATATTTTGGATGGGAGCCCTCCTTGTATGGGATCCCAGGCAGTTATCCACATCACCTAGCTTGCAGAGTTAATGCGTTTACACCATACTGAAAAAATATTTTCTTGCACATAGCAATGTAGAAATAAACAGCGCTGGTAAAGTCAGTTGTGATTGATTTTTAGTTCCTGCCCCCCCCCCCAGGGTAGCTTAGCAAATTGCTGTACTGTATTATATGATTCTACCCATAACTATGACTTTCTAAACATTTTAAATGGCTTTTATTTTTTAAAAAATGAAAAAAGTAATGTGAGCTTTTTGGAAGGAGGGAATCAATCTGGCTATTTTTGCGTTCCAGGTTGATGATGGCTATTTCCAGCCTTGTCTGGCATTGTCCATTTCAATACATTTGGACCATATCCAGGTTGGCTACCAGATGCCAGAGAAAACCCCTGAGCATCTGGACTAGGGCTGCCACTCAATCTAGAATCAAGAAGAAAGCCACAGAACCCCTGAAGACGCTTGTGCTCGTGCCATCTCTCCAAGGGAGTATCAGCCACACAGCCAAGAGAAGTCTGCACACCAGCCAGCTTCATCGCCAGGAAGTGATGCTCACCAGTGAACGGTATGGGGTAGAGAGGCTGCCCTTTGCCCATATTTCTGACTCTAATTTAACTTTCTTTGAGCACCTGTTGCCTGGGAGGGTCATCACAGATGCAGAAGAGCTCAAACCTTTCAATGTGGACTGGCTGAAGTCTGTGAGAGGTAAATTATTTTAACATTTTATCACAACTGAACATTGCTGTAGCTGCCATCCTGATAAAACAGTTCTGTAAAGAACATAGGACAGGTCTTCATTTCAAAGCATTATTTTAGAGATAAATCTGGCATGGGGGGGGGGATTGCAGGGTGCCCATAGTGGATCTTTCAGTAATACCAGCTGAATAGCATTATGGAGCTAGTCTGTATTTTCTCTCTCTCTCTCTCTCTCTCTCTCTCTCTCTCTCTCTCTCTCTCTCTCTCTCTCT